AGGAAAAGTGTCTATTGTATCACATTCCGTAGGTTGTGTGATTACGTATGATATCATGACAGGATGGAATCCAGTCAGGCTCTATGAACAGTTACTTGAGAAGGAATATGATATTCTGGAGCACTCTTGGATGACCTATGAGGAGCAGCATTTGCTAGAAGAGTTTTACTTAACCAAGAAACAGTAAGAAAATATCCTTGAATTACTAAAGAGATCTGTGGCATGAAGAAAATGCATGAGTAGATTCAGCACCATTTTGAGAAAACAGGAGAGGTTTGATACATAGGCAGATCTTAGTTTAGCTGTGCCTTAGTAAAATAACTATTGAAGGCCATTTCTATCCATTTTTTTTTTTTTTTTAGGTTTCACTGGCAGAGGTAATGTAATGATGCATGCAGCATTTAGAGGGCTTCAGTCTACATAAAGGCCTTTTAGGGAGGTCAGGGACATTTCTTAATAATCATTCAGTTCTTCACTAGGGGATGGGCCAGATGGACCATGGGGAGAAGGATGATTTTTTTCTCTCCACTGTTCTAAATAAAATCTCTTCTCTTCTACTGCTGCCATATATATGAAAAACAACAGATTTAAATAAAATGGACAGGGTGTTCTAATTAAAAGCGTTCATGTCAGTGTTAATTTTCTCCTAGGTTGAGGGAGATAGAAGATAGATTGCATGGACTAAAGACATCAACTGTAGCCGAAACACCTGCCTTAAAATTCAAGGTATGAATAGATAAGGAATGTTTTTTTTCTTTCTGATAAGTGAATTTTAACAAGCTGATCAATTTTTTTTACCAATTCTACTTTCAATTTAGATAGATCTACAAATACATTTTCCATACACAAAATTTCTTAATTCAAATATTACCAGGAAATGGATTATTTTCAAACAGAAAAGGCACTATTGTTCTTATTATATAACAGAGGATAGGAGGAAATAACCAAAGAGTGAAGGGCATGGCACCTGTTGACCTGAGTCAGGCTATCAAACATCATTTAGCTGGTCTTGGCTGTACATCGTGAATTGTTTTCAATATAGGCACTCCCAGTGGAAGAGAAGCTGTACAAATTTGGATAGTATTTTTGCCTCAAGCCTTTTTTGTCTCTGCAACATTAAAAGATACACCACCAAAAATAGTGTGAATTTACCTTTTTCTTCCCAATTTTGTTCTCCCTTGTCACCTCAATCCAACTAACAGTTTGTATGTTTTTTAAAAAATCATTTTTAAAAGCAGTTTATACAAAGGAATATGAGCATAATAGGAAGCTGGCATCTATTACCATCAACTAATCAGTATATCTGCAAGTTGTGATCAGATTGTTTTGAAGAAGTCATATCTCTGATATTGAACACAGCTTAATAACTGTAGTTTAATTTTATGAGAAATTACTGTACAATAATTATATTTGGTATTAGACTTTTTTAAAGATCTTCAATCGTTATATCCTGGCATGTTGGATTCACTAGGATCTTGGATATTAAAAATGTTAAGATGTATTTGTTGTTCATCTTCTGGCAGCCTCGCATGGTAACCCGGACAGAAAGCACACCCAGATGAGCCAGAGTTTTACTTTAAGGTTTCAACAACAGAATCTTGCAAGTTTGAAAGTAATTGCTCCCCAGTTGCCTTTAGAACCCAAGAAATTAGGGAGGGTCCCTTCTGGGATGTTTGCCACACCCACATTCCTGCTGCTGATTAAGCTGCCTCTTATTTGTTTATTTATTCAGTTTCTATAGCCACCCATCTCAGACAAATGATTCTGGACTGTAACAATCATAAGATCAGTTAGAACCATGCGCAAACACGACATAAATAAATAAATGTATGTTTCTGTCTATCAGCGGCAAAAAAATTATAACTATAACTACCAATATAACCAGGAAACGGTCCTTAAATGTTTGGGACCCCACGTGCAGGCATATAACATATCTGATTGTCCCCTAGCTGTGGCTCCACTCCCTGTTTCCCGTGGCCCTTCCCTCATATCTCTGTATCTCCCTTGAACTTTTTGTTAGAGAAAAAAAAACCCAGCTTTCCTAAGTTGCAGTTAAGTAATGACTACAACCTTCTTAATATTGGCACAGCAAAACAGATTTCTGTTCTGCTTTGGAAATATTCTGAAGAGTTGTTTTTAAGCACCCAGGTTCCCCCAACCTTTCATGAAATATTTCTTTTAGTTGAAATGTTCTCAGGAAACCAAAAACACGCTATGGTATTTTTGTAACATAGCTTTCTTTGGTTATCATACAATCCAAAAAGATTATCAATTCATTATTAAACTGTGGCTTTCCTCAATTTGTATTGTTTCTCAAGGCAATGAGATCACAGCTCTTCTTCCTTACTTCAAAGTTTCCTGCTATGTGCTAGACCAGCTGCCTATTACTCTGCCTGTTAATATCAAATGAAATGTTTCCATAGGTGGACAATTTCTTCTGTATGGGATCTCCATTAGCAGTGTTTTTGGCCTTGCGTGGCATCCGTCCAGGAAACAGTGGAACTCAAGATCACATTCTACCCAGAAAAATTTGTAACCGGTTGCTAAACATTTTTCATCCAACAGATCCAGTGGTGAGTGTTAGTATAGTAGCAAGCTTTCACAGAACAGAGGCAGCTATCATGGAGCCGCTCAGATAGCAAAATTTTGATTAAAATGGCAGTGAAGTTTATTAGGCCATAGTACATCAGGATTTTTTTGTAAGGGAAATAAATTGAAGGATTCCATGGATGGAAGTCCTGAAGGGAAAAACAATTCAAGATGATTGGGAAATTCTGAAAAATGAGGTAATTAAGGATCAAACACAATACCAAAGAGAAAGAAAAATAGGAAACAGCTAATGAGACCAGTATGGTGGCATAAAGAGCTTTCTGAGAAATAGAGAAACAAAACATGGAATTTAAACATGGAAAGGGGGGATCATAAAAACAGAAAATGAGAAAAATAGTTCAAATCCTTAAAACCTATTTTACAATTTTTAGAAAGGCTAAGGCTTAGAATGAACTGAATGTTACAATTAAATCCTTTTTAAAAATGCTCTTTGGAGTATATGCAGAAGAGGAAGAATGTGAAGGAAATGGTCAATCTGCTGCTTGGAGAAGGCTGAACTGCTTAATTCTTATTTTGCATCTGTCTTTTCACAAAAAGAAAAATGGTCAGCTTCAGAAATGGGGCAGAAGAGACATGCAGGTCAAAATAGGCCAGGAATTTGTGATAGAACACTTAGCTGCTTTGAATAAATTCAAGTCTAATTGCCTGGATGGATTACATACTAGGGTGCCAAAGAAACCGCTGTCTCTTCTGTCCCATTTCAGAACCATAAAAGTTCCAGAAGACTGGAGAAGAGGTAACATGGTTGCAGTTTTATGAAAAGTGAAAAAAGTGGCCCAAAACACAGCCCAATGAGTTTGACACCTTAATATCTGGGAAAATTTTAAAAAGGTTGATCAAGTAGTGAGTTTGCAAGCATTTAGAAAGAAACAGAGTGATTACTAGAACCCAGTATTATTTGTTAAAAATAGGTAATGCCAAACAAATTTTATTACATTTTTACATTACAAAATAACTAGATTAGTAGGCCAAGAGAATGTTATGGATGAAGTATACTTAGACTGTAGTAAAGCATTTGGTAAACTGGACGATGACCATTTTTGATGGCCCCATTACAGATGAATTCAGAGTTGATGGACTTGAAGATAACGTACAAGGATAAGTCACACATTTATAAGCTTTTTTTTTTTTTTTTTTGAAGTTGGATATCACAGGCTACCAAGCAATTGTCACTTCTAGTTGAACTTGGCAGAAACATTTTCCTTAATGAATTCAGTCACACAAAAGAATAGCCTTTTTAAATTAAGTTCTGCAAAGGGACTTCCATAGTAAGACTATTGTTCTAGTACATAATGTGTGTCTTGGCCTTCAGTCTTTCTTCAGGGTCTCACTTTCTTCTTTTCTTTTCTTTTCTTTTCTTTTCTTTTCTTGGTCATGTGGTTATATATTTATTAAATTTATAGCCGCCTAACTCCCAATAACTCAAATATGAAAGAAAATACGAAGAAATGTCGAAACATCAGAAACATCAACTGCATGAACTAGATGTATTATACTAGTAGAAAATCAAAGCATCAATTCTTGCATTTTTCTTTTCATAATTGGTGGATGGTTGTTTTAGAAATGTTAAAAGGAAACAATTTATTCAAAAACTTACTTGATCTTTAATGCACTAGTATCCTTAGCAAAACCTAGCAAGGCAAATTGCTCATTATTTCCATGTATATTGCTGATGTTTCTTGCCCTTGTGCAAATATGCCAAATCAACATATGTTGCTTATTTTAAAACAATGTGTAGTACAAATTAATTTAAAATATTCTCAATTCTAACATAAGCTAAAATGATTGTTTGTATAAAACTCATATGAAGCTGCAGGACAGTAATTCTTTTTTTTTTTTTCTAGGCAGCAGGATCTTTAGATCAGTCATATTATGAATGAAGGCAAATACTGTATATGTGTCCCAGGATAATGTTGCAGAATCCGTTCGGGACCAGAGGTTTAATCTTCCAATTTTTTGGACTCATGCTGGAGCCCATCAGGGAACTTCTCCCTAATGGAATATACTGTATGCTTTGGACTATTCTATGCATACTATTTATGTAGTGCCTGGTTGTATGTGGCACCACGTAAATACTATGCATAGAATAATCCCTCAAATGGAATAGAGAGGTTCCCTGAGGATGGGCTCCAGCACAAGTCCGAAAACTCAGAAGACCAAACCTCTGGTCCCGGTGACTGACCCCGATTGGATTCTGCATCAGTCATATTGTTTAAAACTTTTAAATGGAGGTGAAAAGAGAAGGAACATTACTTAAGCATTTAAGTGATAAATGGGTAGATATTTGACCAGATGAAGAATGTATATATCTAAAATGTTCCTTGTTCACAGTTTCTTTCTTTGTCTTCCTATTTGCAGGCCTATAGACTAGAACCTTTAATTCTGAAGCACTACAGTAATATTTCTCCTGTGCAGATACATTGGTATAATACCACAAATCCACTACCTTACGAACACATGAAGCCAAGTTTTCTCAACCTAACAAAAGAATCTACCTCTGTTTCTGACCCTGAATCTCTCACAACATTACCCAGTCCAACAACATCTCCTGTCATGTCTCGGCGGCATTATGGGGAGTCCATAACAAATATAGGCAAAGCAAGCATATTGGGTAACTATATGCTAAATTAAACCTTTCTTTGTTGATGTGTTTGTTTTCCTCTAAAGCAGCGGTTCTTACATTGAGAATAATGTAGGCATTATCCTGAAGGTAATGGAGCAATATGTAATTGCTTATTTATGACTCAAAATCCAGTTTGAGACTGCTGCTGTGAAGAACAGGATCTTTTGGGTTCTTTTGTTGTTTGTTTTTATGAAGTAATGACATTACCTGAGATCAGGAAAAGGGGTAATTGGGTGAAATAGTTTTAAAACCCTCTCACTCTAAAAAATAGAATTCCTGGAGTCATGAGGCTTATAATGACATTGGGCCAATCACTGTATCTCAGATTAATCTACTGCACAGAAATAATAGAGGCAGCATAAGCACAAGATACTGATAATTTAAATTTCCTGGTATGGTTTTCTTTGATATTTTTGCTGTTTAAAAAAGATATGTATTAAATAAAAATGAAAATATGACAGAAGAAATGTGCTCCTATAAATGGTGCTGCAAGGAAGCACACTGTAAATGTTTAATCATAATGTTTAGTTAATCCTCATTTAATGACTGCCTTGTACAGCAACCATTCACAGTCCTCACATTCATGACCTTTTCACATCTGTAAAGCAAAGGAAAGCTGTAGTAAGATGATAAGTGTAGTTTCATTTAGCAACCACTTCGCATAATGACCAAGTTCTGGTCCCAATAGTGGTTGCTAAATGAAGACTACCTGCATTACATTTCAGACACACTCTTTCTTCAAGAGTTCATAATCCTATATAGAATATTGATATTTGAAACGTTGCTCTGTGGACTAGTGGATAGCACTTTTTAATCATTTGGGCTAAAAGCACTGTCCCATAGATGACTCTTATGCAACTCAGTTCCACATCATTTCATGATTCCATTAAGTGGAGGAAAGGATTTATTATATGCACCCAGTTTTGGTCACCATGGTATAAAAAAAATGTTGAGACTCTAGAAGGAGTGCAGAGAAGAGCAACAAAGATGATTGGGGTACTAGAGGCTAAAACACATGAAAGAACAGTTGCAGAAACTGGGTATGTCTAGTCTAACAAAGAGAAAGACTAAGGGTGACATGGTAGCAGTCTTCCAATATTTGAGAAGAGAAAAGGGGTCAACCTATTCTCCAAAACACCTGAAGACAGAGCAAGAAGCAATGGATGGAAACTAATCAAGGAAAGAACCCTTGGATTGAGGATGGGACTCTTTTCCATATTAGCACAACTCTGTCAGAAAGCCTGGATCCCACCCCAAATAAATAAGTAACAAGTTGGTTGTGAATGGGTTGTATAATAATAATAAAGTTGGAAGGGACTTTGGAGGTCTTCTAGTCCAACCCCCTGCTCAGGCAGGAAACCCTGTACCATTTCAGACAAATGGCTGTCCAGTCTCTTCTTAAAAACGTCCAGAGTTCTGGAGGCAAGTTATTCCGCTGATTACTTGCTAATACATGGGCATTAATAGGTGCAGCAGACAATTCCAACTGATGCATTTTTAATGAAATAGTGACCCTGGAATACAGTATCTGAGAATGACACTAGTAATTTCAGGTAAAAGTATCCGCATGGGGGCAGCAGACACAAAAGAAAAAACTCAGTGTTATAGTCCTTAAGGCTGAATAACTGCAGTTTCAGTGACACTATTTTAGTCAAATACTTCTATACGCATGATGAAGGAAAGCTCTGGGGTGGCAATGGACAAAAAAAGCAGTTACACAGCCACTGAATGTTACAATCAGACTGTGAAAAAATAGTCATGAAATATGGACACTGGTCAGTTATACTTGAAGTGGCATGTAGAGAAAACCTGTGATTTCTGTAACAGGGAGCGGTTGTGGTCTTATCATAACCTGTCACTAATCCTGGAGTGCTGTGGCTGCAGAATAACATGACTTGTTTTACTATGCTAATTGAACAGGGGCAGCTAGCATTGGGAAAGGCCTCGGAGGGATGCTGTTCTCAAGATTTGGACGTTCCAATCTGCCCACCTCACAAGTGCCTGAGCCAGGAAAAGAAGTAACAGAAGTAGAGGACAAGAAGCCAGTTTTGAGTCAAACATCAGTCGGCACTCAGACTTTTCCACACAGCAGTTCTGGCTTCCTAGATCCAACAAGTAAGTAGATTTGGTTCTTTACTTTGCTAATTATGTTTTCACCTTTCTATCTAGGGCAGGGATCACCAAACCCTGGTCTGTAGACTGGTATTGGCCCACTAGGAACCACACAAGTGAGCGATGCTTCATCTGTGCATGCGCAGGATCTAGGTAGCACCATCTCTCCCTCCCTAAAAGTTGGGGACCACTGATCTAAGAACTGCTTCCTCCTGATCTGCAAGCAGGATTTTGATTAGCAGTGAGCAAGCCTTATGAGTTGACAAGAGAAGGAATCATGACAAGCTTCAGTGTAGAATTCCAGTTCATTTAATTCTAGAAGTTCTGGCCCTACAAGTTAGAAAGCAAAGTAATATCTAAGCCCTAAATATTTCACTCTCCACTTTTTAGCTCTTGCTCTTATGAGACAATCCTTGCTGCTTCAGTTTTCAGTTTCACTGATATTTCCCTGTTCTTCAGTTGCTCTTATTATGCAGACCATTGTTTTTTTCGATCCAGAGACAACTAGCATAGCTTCTTTGGCTGATATGTAGCTTATGATATTTTGGCTGGAAACTACTTTTTAGTTGCACTGCTGCTGAGTCTCATAATTTCCATTCTGTTATGTGGTTGGGGGACATTTTTGAGATCTGTATCTAATTTAGCAACTTTAGGAGATGAAGAGTGCCACTTAATGGTGCTGCTTCCAGTTTTATTTCCATCACCCCGCTCAAAGGTTAGGTAGATGTGAAGAATAAAAAATGCAGCAAAGGACAAGACGACAGTTCTTCCGCAATAATGATTTTGTTTCCTGCCTAGTTGAGCTGGACCACAGGATCGACTTTGAGCTCAGGGAGGGCCTGGTGGAAAGCAGGTACTGGTCTGCCGTTACATCGCATACAGCTTACTGGTCATCAATGGACGTCGCTCTCTTCCTTCTTACTTTCATGTACAAGCAGGACCAAGGGGAGGATAACATCAAACCCCACTTAGATCCTGTTTGATTAGGGATAGGGCAGAAATTAGGGAGGAGTGGGAAGGGGAGAAAGGATGAAACATGACAATTGGCACAAAAACAGTCAGACAACATCTGTTTTTAAGGCATGGTGGTTTCAGTTTAAATGCATGTCTGATTTCCTTCCTTCCAAGGTTATTTGTCCTTCAATGCACATATCCATTTCTGTGCTAATTGAGGCCTTCTTGAAAGATCATTCTCAGCTCCCACCCTTTCAGCTTTCAAACAAGCCAGCAGTAGTTGTTTTAGCATCCATGTAGAATAACATCTTTGCAGATTAACATATCTGTTTAAGAGTAGCTGCTTTTTTTAAATACAGAGGTTAATCTGTTACAATGGAATTTGTTTTCATTTAAGAGAAATGCCTGCAGATCTAAAAGAGCCATGTTCTGTGTCCTTTGTATGAGTTAAATTAAGAAGCAAATGGATACCGTTGCCCTCGATAAAATTGAAACTCCATCATGTAAGTGGCAGATACAAAGGGTATAACACAACTCATTCCATGTGCTAAACTGGCAAGCACTCCTTTGGAAATATTGTAACAATAATTTATTATTACCTCTTACTATTTGTTTTCTCCAATGTATTAAAAATGTTAGTTTTCTACAGTTTTTTCCCTTTTGTTTTCTTTGAAGCAGAGGAACACTAAAAAAAACCACATTTATTTTCTACAGTGTTAAGACTTTATTGCTCAGATGACATATGTCATACCTTTGTACTATTTCAATGGAGCTATGGACACTGTGGCACACTTTTCAGTATTTTTTTCATTAAAAATAAACTTTTGTGATATCACACAAGCATTACTTGTTAAATCCTGTTTCTCCAAGACAAGATATATTTTCTCTTTGATTTCGGCATACGTTCATTTTGCTGTCTTCTCAATTTGCAAAATACTTGCACTCAACTTCTTGGAAACTAAGTAGTGGAAAGTAAGTCTTAATTTGTGGTTCCTCAATATCAAGCAGATTCTTAAGATGAGTGTTTGACTTTGAACAATTAGACCATTGTTAAGCTCTTTTGATAAAATGATGCAGGTGAGTATCCAAAGAAGAGGCATTCATACTCAATTACTCAACATATTTTTCTTTCAGCTATTCAGGCTGTAAATGAAGCCATCTGCTTTTCAAACTGCAGGGTGTTTGCTTCTTCACAAGGGCAGTCCAAAACACTAAAAGTATTTCTTCATTCCTTCTTCAGCAAGATTCTCAGTTCATTCTCTCACATGCACGCTCCTTCATTTTGCATGCAGTTATTCCTAAATCTGTAAATGTGACACCAAATTTACTTGATTTATATATGAATTTAATCTTTATTCTTGGATATTCAGGGAACTTGGGGAAAAAAATGATTAAAATTTAGGAAAACATAAAAACATGACAATAGATATAATTACCACCGGTACTTGGACAGAAGATTCTAAATCAGGGGTGTCCAACCTTGGAGACCTTTAAAACTTGCGGACTGCAACTCAGGCTGACTGTGGAATTCTGGGAGTTGAAGTCCACAAGTCTTAAAGTTGCCAAGATACGACACTTCTGTTCTAAATCATAGACTTAAAAGCCATTACTCAGGATCACAAAGCTTCCCTAAGAAGTGGCCTCCTCAGAGTCATACTTGACTCTTCAGAGGAATAGGATCATTTGGTTACATTGTGTGAATTGGCAATTCATGGCACTTGGGGTAGTTTATGTGAAGACACCAGCATTCCTCCTTTTCTGCCACAGTAAAGGGCAGACATTTAAGTAGCACGGTTACTTCCTTCAAGAATTAAACGCTTCATATGTGCTGGAATGTTAAGTTGGCTTCATTTGACGTCACTCTGGAATCTTATAGTCTTGACATTAGTAGAGTCCATTATTGTAGTAATCTTAGTCATGAAAGGGCTTAGATTCCACCACTGAGTCCTTCTGAAATCTTTGTTTATCTCAGTTCCTAAGATAAGCTTTTTCCTGAAGTCATTTTACAAGATGAAGTTGCTTGAAAATGATAAGAGGAGTGGCTTATGGAGGATTGAGATGGCCCATAAGTTTTCTATGCCATTATCAGTCATAATAATACATAAGGGAGAGAATAAACAGTAAATGAAAGCACTATTGAGTAGGTTCAAAATCCATTTAAACTTACCACTAAGTAAACAAAATCTACAGTGAGTGGTCCTTGATGCTCTCCGAGCTTGGTTGTTTCCTTGCAGGCGTTTCATTACCCAAATTAGGTATCACCAGTGCTCTGCAAGAGAACATTCAAGCTCAGAGACCAACAAGGACCCCTCTTTTCAACTCCTGAGCTACAAATATTCTCCTTTATTAGAATTTACAGTCCTCAGGAACTAGAGCCAGGACTTTATAACTTGGGTGTGTAACCAAATTTTGGTGACACATAAAATTGGTAGTAGGGAAGCACTGAGTTTTCTACAATGAGCTGCCAGGCACTTTAACCTCACCATTCACCTCTTGTCTTCCTCCCCACTCTTGTTTTCATAATTCCTGCTATTGCCAACTTTCTTCTGTTGTATTTTCTTCCTGATCTCTGACTATCCTGGTGTCCACCTGCACAAAGTACTCTATGATCTTGGAGCCAGCTAGACAAGTTGTAGGCAGTGGTGGGATTCAGCTGGTTCACACCACTTCGGCAGAACCGGTAGCTATTTTTTTGTTGCCCAGGCCCAGAATGGACTTCTGGAAGCAGCATCCACACAGAGAACCGGTTGTTCACATATTTGAATCTCACCACTGGTTGCAGAGTTTCTGGTTTTCATTTTTTTAAAAAAAATGTTTAGGGGGTGCAGATAGCATTTCAAATTTTTTAAACAAAATTGCTGCAACAGTTGAACATAAATTTATTTTAAAGTGGTTTAAAATAAAAGTAAAGACAGAAAGTGGGAAAAGAATGAAATGTATTTATGAGAAACAAGGAAAAGAGGACGAGGAAGTTGTAGTTTTATCTCTTTCTGCGATTTTTGGGGTGTAATGGAGCCCCATGCAAAATAAAATGATTGGCTTGCTAAAAAGCTAGAGAATGCAGTACCACTTAACATTCATAATAGCAAGCTTTTCATAAAGTCCCAGATACATCTAACGAGTCTGAATATGACTTTCAACTTAGAATAATGTGTCCAGGTTTTGGGATGTGATAGTTCCCACCAGATATCAGTGTTAGCGTGTACTTTCTGTATTTAGGGATAAGCACTCTGGTTGACAACTAGGGCTTAAGTGTGGTATATCTTAACTGTAACAAAGATGGTAATATCCATCTGTAGCTATACCATATATCAGTGATGGCGAACCTTTTAGAGACCAACTGCCCAAACTGCAACCCCAAACCCACTTATGCATCGTCAGGTGCCGGGTGGGTATGGCCTTTGGGTGGGTGTGGCCCATTGGGTGCGTGTGGCTGCGGTGTAACAGCAGACTGGGTGGGACTAAAAAGTTCAATCAATCAATTCCAACTTTGCAATATCTTTTTTTTCCCCGCGAGAAGTTGAAATTGACTGATTGATTGAACCTTTTTTGTTTTTGCACACGGCAGCGGAGGCCTAAAGCAAAAAGGGTTTATAAAACCCAGCTGAAGGCCTAGGACTGGGGTGACGGTGCGCGTGCCCACAGAGAGGGCTCTGAGTGCCACCTCTGGCACCCGTGCCATAGGTTCGCCACCACTGCTATATATCCATCTATAATTCTGCAGATAAAGTCATTATGCACAAAACTGTGGTCAGGTGCCTTGTAATAACTTGATGACTTTAACTGTAAGTGCTAGGGAAAGAAGAATATGACTGTTGGACAAAAAGCAAGAATTTAAAGAAAGTGCCTCCGCCCCTCCTCAAGAAAGTCAAAAATTTGGTCAAGGTGAAAGAATAATAAAGGAGAATATTTGTAGCTCAGGGTTGACATGAAGGGTCCTTGGTGCTCTGTGAGCTTGCTTGTTTTCTTGCAGACGTTTCATTACCCAAACTAGGTAACACCATCAGTGCTACTAAGGAGTGCTGTTTGCTGTCATTTTATATTCTAGTGCCTTTCCCTGACAGTGTTGGGGGTGGTTGGTCTTTGAAATAGAAGCTAACAGCAAATAGCCCAATAAAAAAAAATCTCTAAAACCATCCCCACCAACACTGACGTCAGGTAAGATAAGATAACCTTTATTGTCATTTTTATACTGTGGGCACAACGGCACACATCAAAAATGAAATTTTGTTGCCCACTCTCAAAGTGAAACATATATGACACACACCTAAACATACTATGTTCAACATATGTATAGACCCACACCCCTACATATACAGTATATAACAAATATTAAATATTGTCCATCTTGAATATATAATAGAAAGAGGAAGCTTGAGAGTTCATAAGGTTAATGCTGTATGGAACTATGGCTGAATCTGGATATTCTGCTACGGATACCACGAAGCCTCCTCCCAGAAGGTAACAAGGAAAACAGGTCGTGAAGAGGATGTGGTGTAGTGTCCCAGATGATCTTACGGACCCTGCTCAATCAGCACTTCTGTGCAATGTCCTGGATGGGAGGGAGGGAGCTGCCAATGATCTTTTCGGTCATTCTCACCACTCTGCACAGCCTTCCTGTCTGAAGCAGTGATGCCTCCAAACCAGACTGTGATGTTGTATTACAGGATGCTCTTGATTGTCCCCTGTAGAAAGTGGTCAGGACAGGGGAAGGAAGATGTGCTTTTCTCATGCGACGCAGAAAATGCAGGCGCTGCTGTGCCCGCTTCACCAGTTTCACACTGTTGAGCAACCAAGTCAGCCTACTCGCTAGCTGCACACCCAGGAATTTGATGCTGGTAACCATCTCCACAGGTGAATCATTTATGCACAGAGAAGTGTGGCTGTGCCTGCCTTTTCTGAAATCAACAATGATCTCTTTGGTTTTTCCGGTATTTAAAACTAGGCTGTTTTCCTTACACCAGCTCACCAAACCCTCAACCTCCTTGTGGTAAGCTTCCACCTTGTCATCCTGAATAAGGCCCACTACTGTTGTATCATCTGCAAACTTCACAACATGGTTGGTGGCAAACCTAGCACAACAGTCATGGGTCAACAGGGTGAACAGCAGTGGACTTCAGACACAGCCCTGAGGAGAACCTGTGCTCAAGAAAATGGTATTAGAGGTATTTGTTCCAACTCACACATATTGGGACCTGTTGGTAAGAAAATCAAGAATCCAGTTGCACAGAGGAGTGTTTAAGCCTAAAAGGCTAGAATATAAACTGAGAGCAAACCTCACTCCTTAGTAGCACTGATGATGTTACCTAGTTTGGGTAATGAAACGTCTGCAAGAAAACCAGCAAACTCAGAGAGTACCAAGGACCCTTTCATGAAAAAATAACTGGCGAGTGTTTTTTACTTACATAGACCCTCAGTAAATGACCCAGGGGTTCAGTCTGTTAAAATTCTAGTCTTTGGTATATAAACCTGGCTAGAATGGATTCTGTCCTAAATATTTTGGTGTTTTTTAATCAAAGGAATAAAATATGTATATGAACTTACTTTCCTTGGGTGTGGTTACTCATCATTAAAGATCAAATCTTACATGTCAAGTAGTTCATCTCTGTCCTATGTCTTGACTCTGCTGGCAGTCCCGAGCAGTCAACTGTGCTTGGGAAATTATTTATATCTATCAGATATCATATTTAGTTAAGTTCTTCGCAGCCTGATGGTAGCTTTCTGTGCTTTCAAAGTTTTGATAGCCTGCCCAAGAATATTTTAATCAACAAAATAGTTCTGTGTGTATGTGTGTGTGAGAGAGAGAGGGAGGAGAGAGAAAGAGAGGGAGGGAGAGAGAGAAG